GAAGGTTTCCAACAACTGACTAGACATGCAAGATGTGTGGTCTTTTCAAATCGATCTTAAATAATATCTTCTGTTTCTTCTTTTTTTGTTGGAACATTGGCTTTTAAATTAGGAAAAAAAGAACTTATGTACTAAGAGCAAGCATAATAATAAAATAAAAAATTCTCAGTTAAGAAATCATTCGCATCTATTTTGAGTACAAGTCATTTTTAATTTTTAAAAGCACCAGTTAATCAAAATTGAGAAGTGTGGCTTTTCAATATGCTCTCACAAGAGCTTAACAGAGTATGTGGTAGGATTTTGTGTGCTTAGAAAATTTTGTGGACTTCAGCTGTACCATTCAGTTTTCATACAAACACAGTGAATAATTGCCTGGTTTTCTTCACTTGATGGCAAAGCTTAAATCAATAAATCTGATGACCTGAAAGCAGTCTCTTCCAGTGATGTATTTTAGAATGCTTTCTAAGAACTCAAAGGTCAAGCCTAAAGGAAACCATTTTTATCAGAAGGTGATATGTTGAACAGGATCTGTGCAGCTGGAAATAAGTGATTCAAATTTGTACTTCATTTGTTTTAAATTCTCCAAAGCTTCAAATCCTGTGGGATGTTGACAGACTTTGACATCATTAATTACCTGGCAATGTTTTCAATTTACTGATCATTTACTACAATTTATCACAGTATTTGTCACAATAACATTTACCTCTCTGTCTACTGTGTTCTTTGCTCCAGTATATAATAAAAATGTATTTTTCTGTTGTAGACAAGCCACTCTTATCTCAAGTAATGGCATAAATGGACTTGCAGAGTTGAAATCAGAACTCTGCTTGTGGTATTTAAGTGCCAACCAAGAAGAGGGGAAAAAGACAAATCTTCCTTCCTTCCTCAAGGGAGCGAAACACGAGCGGTCTGCTTGAGATTTGCTTAGGCAGCTATCAAAGTCTCAGACTAGAAACTCACCACAGGATACAGTGTGGAAAAATGAAATTATTACTGAAATTACAGAACATAAAAATCTTATTGCCCTAAATATTTACTGACAACTTTGAATTTATAACTTTATTTTGAAATTGCCTGCAAATTAAGTTTTATCAAATATTATTTCTTTGTTAAAATATTCACAAAAGTTTTCACAGAGAAGTATAAATTTTAAAGCAAGTCCAGAGTGTTATTATACCTTGGAAATTAGTCTTGTTGGAAGAAATGGGCACAACATTGTCTTAAAAGAGAATCCTTTTTTCCATCACCAGCCAGGACATGACTGATCGTGACTTATTCACTGTTTTGATCATTTTAATGTTTGCAATTCTGCAGGCAAATTCTAATGATAAATCTTTTTAATAATACCATTTCATTTTACTGACTCAAATACTGTACTGTGGGTTGTCCTAAGAGTTTGGAAGATGTTTTTGGCACACAGGGATAAGCCTGGCAAAAGCCAGGTATACCTTTCTTATTCCTTGTGGTGCCATGGAGGTACAGGTTGTGAAGAGGTTGAGGGTGTGGAAATGGGCAGTGATCAGTTCAACATAACCATACATGTTTTAGAAAGAGATGAGCAACCAACAACTGCACTGAAAACCACTCATTCTCAGAGCAGGGGCTGTACTGGGATGACACGGGAAAGAAAATTAAAGTAATTTCTTCTTACAAGCTTCCTTAGAAAAAGAAAAATAAATGATATGCAGAAAATAGAAGATAAAAATTGTTTTGAATATATTTTTAGTGCCTAGGCATTCTGAGAGAGATTCACATCATGACGGGGCTGCTCATCCATATTGCATAAGGGATGTTTTTATGCTTGTGTTCAGATGAAGACTCACGTTCATGTGATTTGTTTAGGGTTTTCTTTGCATGAAAATGTCCTGACAAGCTTGTAGTGTATGTATTTATAATATAAGCATTGTATGCAGCTTGTGCAATAGATGTCTGCAGGAAGTTCTGCTGAGGAGGAGGATTCTAGGTTGCTAAGACTCAGTGGATTGCCAAGCGTGTCACTGGTTTGAAATGGTTCTTGGATGGGATACTTGTATTTTTTGCTACTTTTTTTTTTGGCTGTTGTTTAGTTGTGGGGAGGAGTAATTTTAAATGGTGTGAAGAGGAATTACCATTTTCCTACAGTGCATGAGATATATATTTTTATTATTTTTTTAACAGAGTTCTGGTTCCAATCCAGTTGTTCTCTCCCTGCAACGGCATCTTGGCACAAGGCAGTCAGCTGTCACACCAATAAATGTCAAATAAATGAAGAATGTCAGCAGAAGTGTAATATGAAACTAATAATTAGTTGTCAAAATTTTAGCTGGTTCCCTGTGAATAACTTTTCCCTATTTTCTTTTTCTTCTTCCAGAAATACAAAGAGTATGAGAAGGATGTTGCAATAGAAGAAATCGATGGCCTCCAGCTTGTGAAAAAGTTAGCAAAGAATATGGAAGAAATGTTTCATAAGAAGTCTGAAGCTGTACGGGTAAGCAGCAGATCAACCTGCTATTTCCTTCTGTGACTTAAAACTAAGCATATAATTTAGGTTTTGCTCTGAAGGCTGCACTAGCAATTGAAGGTGCTGAAGTGGAAATGCTAAAGCATTCAGAAGTATTTTAGGAGCTGCATTCAAGAGAATAGATATAAATTATTTATACCTTCAATGGGTAAATGTAAGAGAGTGTAACCAGGTTTGGACTACCAATTTCTGATATGAGTTTGCAAGGTATCATTTGTGTGCAGTAAAACATAACTGCATATGGTTGTGCATTAAAATGTTAGATTTCAAAATGTCCAACCAAAGCAGACTTAATTTCACTGCTAACTCTTACAAAAATAGTACTGCAGGGAAATATCTGAGTTCAGTAACTGTCCTCTAGTTCAAATCAAGAAAAACAAGTGAAGACTTCAAATGAAACTAAATACAAAATTCCTTTAATTTTGGTAAGTACTACAACACTCTACAGGCAACTTAATAGTGGTCCTGAAAGTAGCTAGACAGCTTTCTGTACATCTGGAAGTTTTTGTGTGTGTGTGTGGTTTTTTTTTTTTTTTTTTTTGTTTGTTTGTTTTTTTAAATCTCCGTTCTGATACTCCTTTTGCAGTAGCTTTTGTGCCTATTAGATTTACCATAAGAGAGAGAAAAAATTCTAACTTCTCAATTTTACTGTATCATATAGGAGCTCATTGTAACTTGCAGGTCCTCAGGAATAACTGATCTTCCTGTTGTAGTTTTCATTTTGCATTATTCTTTGCTAGAAGCTGAGGTGACTGCCTGGAACAGTAGTTCCTGTTGCATCACCTGTATCAGCAAAGTAACAGGACATTATGGGATGCTGTTTACCACCAGCTACTCTATTTCAGCCAGGCTTGTCTGCTCAATTGAGTTGAAGGTATTTGTGTCTCAACTGCAGAGCTGAAAGCATCACCCGAGGACAGGGATTCCATTTGTGTAACTGTAGACACAATTTCGCCTTCAGTCTTGGATTATTTGTTATGGTGCAAGAGGGAGGAAGGAATTTGGCTACATTTTAGAGGTTGAATTTTCTGGGCTGGCAGTGAAGGAAAACATATTTCAGCTTGTAAAACTGAGCGCGCTTGGCAGGGAAGCAGAGAAAGACAATAAACATGGAACCCCGCAATGCTATTTTTACAGTCTGCTTTTCAGAGGGAAAAACGACACTTTAATATGTGTGCAACAGCTTCCAGAAGCCTGAAAAACATTGACTCGGGGGGAATGGTTTTCCTTATTCCTTAGCAGAGTAAACTGCACCCCTGAGATCACAACAATGTGAGAAAATCATTCTTGGAGCTGCACTCGTCTAGAGCGAGAAGAGACCAGCGAGCTGCACGCTTCCTGGTGAGGGAATAGAATTCCATGAGTGAGCAGTGCTGGTGGGGAAGAGCAGTTTGTGTCTCAATTAGAGCTTCCTAACAAATGTTTAGAACAGGTGTGGTCTCTTCAAACAGATGGTGTATTTATCTAAGGAGGAAAAAAATGTAGGATCGATATAGGCCACCATGCTCGGAGTGAAAATGGGGCCCAAATTCTGTGAGTTAAACCATGTGTATAATATTGAGAGAATGGATTTTAGTGCTGGAAAAAGTGACTTCAATCCAGAGCCTTCTTTGGAAGGTTTCTATCTTTGGAAAGGAAGCTAAAAGCTTGGTTTGGACAGGGTCATTTCTTTTAAGAAATGATCTGTTTAGTGTACTTTCCAGTAGAGCAATTAATTTTTGATAATTACATAAAGTAGTCCATCTTGGTTGCTAGAGCTATAGTGAGTGACCTGTTGTGTTCTAGTAGTGTTTTGTGTTTTACATACTGAGAAGTACAAAAACCTTTGGTACTGTGCAGGTTTTACAAATATTTCACCTTTGGTACATCATAACTAATTTTCCCCTCATATCTGTGGTGGGGAGATGGGAGTGACAAAACTCCTCTAGACCTGAGATCTCTGCTCCACTCTGATACTGGATTATCTTGCCTCTGCTTTTGATGGAAACTTGTGCAAGAGCGTTGAAACAGAGAGTTCAGAGTAGTATGTTGGATATGTTGGGGTAAATACTGATAGTACCCTACAAATATCTCAGCCCTAAAATTATGGTGTTGCCATAGTGAGGCTTCAAATCCAAGGGCTCAGAAAACACGTTCCACAGTTAACCCAAATTGTTACCCTACAATAGTCATTGGATTAGCTTCATTTAGACATCAATATCCATGGTTTAATCTAAAATACTTTTTAGATAAAAGATTTTAAGCACGGACTTCTTTGGGTTCCAGCAGATATAGCAATCTGTGAAAAATATTCCGAAAGCCACAGTATATAAAATGTTTGATTGGTAGAAGAGGCCAAGAAGAAAGAGCAGGAAATATAGAAATAGGATAGCTTGGAAAGGCCATCCTTGTTTTGTTTTGCTTTATACTTTCAAACACATTAACTTGTTCAAAGCTACTATCACATTTGAACTCTCTTCTCCCTCCTCCCCCTTAATATTCTGTTGAATTTTTATCTTTCTGTCTCATCGCTTTTCATAGTGATTAGTTGGTTCAGTGTGATTTTTATCATATTTATCCCCTGTTTGAATTACCCTTCAGTAGGCAATTATCCTATCACAGAATGTCCTATTTTTATGCTGTCAGATACATAAGATAAATGGAATACTGAAAGTACTAACCCAATTATATAACCTTTTGTCATCTACTTACTGATAGAAACCCTTGCAAGCAACTTTCCCACCTGTCCCCAGTGTTCACTATTTGCCACAGGTTTATGTCAGTTCAGGATATTCCAGTTAACCATTTCCTTCCTAATACTGCCCTATTTGATGGAATTTCAGGCAGGCAACTTTATATTCTATTCTGAGGTATTTTTGACATGAATAAAGCTAAAATCACTGATGAGCAGTTTTGATTTGGTGTTGCTGATGTTTTGTTTCTATCTTTGACAAAGGTAGATGTATCCATTTGCTTTTAAGATTATGATGCTTGAGTTAGGAGAAAACTTACTGCCCATAAGGTGGTAGACATGGAAGTGTTTCCTACACTGTTCAACAGTTGATTTAATTTTACAGCCAAACACAAATAATCCCTTTGAGAGCCTTGTGTGGTCTGCTGTCACCTGTGGTATTACTGCAGTTGCTTTTCCTGGACTTTTAGTGATTTCACTCATAGGAAATGTGCTCAATCAGTCTTAATGTAAAGTCAGTCATGATTTTTTTAATAATTTTTTTAAAGTTTTATGACACTTTAGTGACTCTGTTTATTTGAAACTGAACAGCAATGGAGCACTGTGACATGATGCTCAGTAACAAGTGACTATGGCAATAAACTTGGTATTGAAAAAGGGATGGAATTAAAATTGTTCATTTGGTGCTTTAACACTTGCTAGTTATTGGCATGGGAAAGAAATCCAAGAGGGCTAGAGGGAAGTGAAAAAGAAAGCAAAATGAAAAATAAGTAAGTTATTAGGGAATATCCAACAAGCTATTATTAAAACTTTAGCTGTGCATTTGAATTTCTGTTTTCATTGTTCTTTCTTTGCAAATAGAGAGATCCTATAAAAATGATGGTTGATTTACTGGCAAGATGGCAAATCGAGTGTTAAGGATTTTTTTTTAAGGTGACTACCATTGCTACAATGGAAAATGCAAATAAGAGACCTCTTTTTATTAACTTTTCCTACTGTAGCTACCTGGTGTTCATTGTGAAGCTGATTCTCATTATAACTGTACTGTGAAAAGTAATTGCTATTGTACAGTAATTCAATTTCAGTGCATTCATGCATCAGTAAACCAGTGGGGTTTATCTAGAGAAACCTGGGACTCTAAAGCTTTTTATCATGAAATTCCACACGCAGACAAATGTTCTTCTAAGGAGTAGAATATCAGCATTTACATTTAACAAACATTTGCAATGAAGAGAAATGGATTTTTTTCCACTGATGATTTTTACACCAGTCTTTAAGCTGTTGTCAGATAGTATTAGGATGATCCTGTTTATGCACAGTTAAAGTAATGTATGTGTTTGAAATGTTTGTGCTTATTCATATTCATATGTAGTTTGCACATTGGAGGACGTGGATGTGTACACATGAGGGTACAGATCTGTAGGCACGTGCATTTTGAGGTTAATGTGTGCAAGATCAGCAGATGCAATTTTCTATTGTTTTTCTGCATGTGTATGTACATAGGTATGTAAGCAAAGTATTAAACAACATGTCCTGCATTCAGATATTTCCAAGCAAATACTGGTAAATTGGTGTCCTGGTCAATAAACTAGTTTTTATTTAAAATAGATGTTGGTGAGAGCAATATGAACTTGGCTTGGTGAACACAGAGATCATAGCAAGTACTTCAAAGATGAGAAAGTTCCTAAACAGAGGAATTTTCTTTATTCAGAACACTACAGATTATTTCCACAGAGAGAGTTTAGGAAAGCTCAGTAGATAATTCATACTGAATATTGTAGTCAAGCAATGTAGCTTTTATTTACCAACCACCTACAAGTTCTTTTCTCTTTTCTTGAGTGGACTTGGAATTTAACTAATTTTTAGTGAATAACTTAGTGGTAAGTTCTTCCCCATTTGAGGCAATAGTGAGAAATATTTCAGGTGAATTTTGAACCACTTTTTGGTGTCTGTTTTAAATGTACACTGACTTGAATGCCCAGTGTGTACATTGTAGTTTTATTCTGATTTTCTGTCACTTTGATCAAGGCTAGATTGGGAATGGCATTCTTGAGGAAAGAAACAAATAATCATTCATATTTCATATTCATATAATATAATAGAAATAGAATGATCTTAAATCTTATTACTTTTCTAGGCTCACTATTTCACAATATAGAATAAACACTTTTCCATTATCTACTCAGTTCCTTCACTGAGCTAATTTGCATCTGCAGAATTAGAAGGAAAATAAATGTCAGTGTGCACTCTTTAAAACTGTGCTACTCAGTGGGGGCTATGCTGACCCCTCTTTTTT